AGAGTGGGCATAATACTTACTCAAGTTCAAAGCATGGATAAATTTACCCTGTTTAGGGGAAAAAAAACCCCACCATTTCCTAAGGGTCACTGTTTTGGGGAACTCTCAGAATAACCCAGGTGAATGTTCCCAAGTGCTCCGCAGTCAGCATTTTGGGTTAAACTATTCTCTCAGATGCAGAGTGATTTAACAAAACCCCTCCTCTAAACAGCAGCTCACAGAGGAGTTATCACAGAATTTATCCAACAGGCAAGTTCAAGTCATCCCAAGTTCAAGTGTAAGAAGTTAAGCACACCTCCAGCTTACTGCCGTGGGCCCGCATTGGTTTATTTTATGACAGTCCGCAGTGGTTTCATACTCTTAAACTGATGCTGCACACCGTTAGAACAATTAAAAATAGTCACAGGTCACTGACAAACACCTAAAAACGTAACTGGCAGACAAATTTTTGGATGGCAACATGCAGGGACAGTGACAAAAAAAACATACACAGAGGCACAAACTGCCTTCAAACCCAAGGCTTCTGAAGTCTCTCTCCGTAGGTATCTGGCTCAGAAGGAAATTTAGAAAATATTTACTTTGAATACTCTAATTTTAAGCCAAATCTAAGCCAATGCTAAGATCACATCACCTCCTTTACTGTTTGAAATACGGTAGGTTATGAGTAACCAGTTCAGCAGGTGAGCAGTTCATCCGCACAGGAGTATCCGAGCAATTAGCAAGTCTGTTTCTTATCAGAAAATCCCCTTTACGGGATTGCTGCACAAGCTGAATCCAGGCCAGAAGCAGCTCCAAGACCTTTGACCAATTACAGTGCGGCCGCTGCCTGCGCTCAGCGAGGCGGGTACCAGCCCACAGGCCCCCCACGGCACTGCAGGCTGGAGCAGTGGCAGGACTCAAGGGCTTTGGTCTGGCAACTCCCTTTCTGCCTCTACAAATTTTCCGCAGCAGCCCTGCGTATCTTGCACCGCCGGGTGTTCCAGCTACTCGAATAAAGGAGGTGCTGCTACGTGACGCGGGTTGCTCCGCACTATCCTGGATTCTATTTTCACGAGCAACGTGTTTATCTAGGAAACACAATTGCAGCAATAGCAGGGGGTTTGTTATTTAACTAGAAGGCACCAGTTACAAGGGACGTGGAGGAAAATACAGTCATGGCAAAGCTTTACCTCAGCCATTCATATCATTCCCCTTTCTCAAAGGATTTTCCAACAGCTACTTTGTTCAGTTGTCAATAGAAAGGGCTCTCTAAAGGCAAGGAAGAACACTTACATGTGCTGTACTGAACTTGGCTGGTGCCAAAGCCACCAAAGCACCTGACACTGGGGAGCAGCTACGTTACACAGAATATAGTCTGAGATGTCCAGCTCATCCATCTACACTCGGGGTTAACGAGGAAAAAAAAATGAGCTAATGCGTAATATTCTGAAGTGATATTTACAGCCTCAACTCTACAGAGTTGCAGCAGCTTCAGCCAAATCAGGCTGCTGGGAAGATAAATTTGATCAGCTGCAGTTTGGAAGGATCTGGTGGTATTCGTAGGATTTTTACTGGGCTGTATCAGAACTTGCATCTCTGCTGCCTTTGTCACAAAATGAACGACACCCCGCACACCAGGCAGCAGGTTCCTCCTAAGAAAGCGCTTGCTTGTCTCAGAGCTGACTTTGGCTTGCCTGAGACAGGCACCTGCGTGAGTGACAGCAGTTGAGCCTAACTCCACAGAAAACAAACAAAAAGACCCTCAAAAATGTGGCATGGGCAGCAGCACACAAGCCAGTCAGTGCATCACTGAGAAGCAAATGTTTAGGGCCAGAGACACAAAACTGCATTACTCCAACAGAAAGGAACCACAGCTGACACATACCTGCCTTTCAACATAGGTCACTCAGCCCTCGCAGGAAAAGATAAGTTACTTCACACTCACAGCAGCGTGAAAGCTTATACAGATGCCACTGTACTGTTGTCAAAGTGCTTGGATTCAAAAAGGAATAGGAAGTAAATGTTTTCTTGCATTTTCCCCTCTATTCCTTTGGGCCTGCTGGCCACGCTCACATTCTGGGCGAGCCTACAGAGAGCAGTATTAAGAAGCCAGGACACAATTACACTGTACATGCTACTTGTGGAACTAGTCAGTCATTTTGGCTCTCGTTATCTAGACATTACTGCACGTCTTGTCTCCAAATATGCAGTTACACTGAACTAGGCCTCACCAGATTTACAGGACCCAATCCTACCGTGTCCGGATTGCCCTCCAGCAGCACGTTGATGGCTCTGTTAACATCTCCGTTGCAGTCATGCAGAGCAATCACACACTCGTCCTGGTTCTTGCCTGTGATGTCAATCAGCTGTAGAGAAGACAACACCACTGTCAGCATGTTCCAAAGCAAGGCAGCCCTAAAATCTTTGTGGATCTCTTAGAAGACAAGCAAGTTGAATCCCAAACCAGAAATCCTACAGTGTCAGGGTTTGGGAGTGTCCCCAGCTTTCTCAGGTTCATTATGGCCCCTCAACGAGGAGTAACTGAGGGTGGAAGTTTCTGAGTTACTGTTGTTTCACCACAGCTCAACTGACAACCTCCTTTTCTCTGGATAACACCATTCCCTGTGTTCTGGGGAACAAGCAGTCCAAGGAAATTCAAGGAGCAGCCAGCCGCGTCCCTCCCAACCCCCCCCAGCATTCACGATACTCTCAACATCAATCTTGCCTTCCTGTCAGGGTTCACCCTCACTACTTTCCACACTCACTTGTTTCACCTTCTCCTCAAAGTCAGCGTCGTTGTGGTCCGAAATCATCTGTGCAAGTCGAATCTGTTCCGCAGTGGCCTAAAGAAATCAAATGTAGAGAGACAGAGCGGTTAGAGCTGCACATTTCCAGCAAGCCTTCCTCCAAAGGCAGTATCACTTTCCCGAGATCTCTGGAAAGGAATCAATATGATGAAGACGAGGTGCAAACAAGGGTCTGAAAGAAGAAAGCTTCAGAGAGAAAGATGGAAGAGCAAGCGAGCAAGGGGAGTCTGGAAGAAAGGGACATAGCACTGGATGGCCTCGCGGCACTGGGTGAGCCACAATCACCTAAACTTTGTCCATTTCAAGGCAGACCTTACCACCACAAAAACATCAAGACTCACTTCAAGCAGCTTCTCAGCCACTTGCATTCATTAAAGTGAACGGGGAATGGTCAGATGGAAATAAAAACAAAATCTCAGCCCCAGCTCCTGCTTGGAGACACCAATGTGGGAACCTGACTGCCAGTGGCCGCCCAATTAACACGGCTCTGTGAGCAGCACACGGGAAGTTCGTTAGGCCGAGCCCGGCCGTTAGCGCCAGGCCAGGCAGGAGTGCCAGGTCTCCACCTCCAAGCTAACTGGTTTCCATGGACGCTGCCCTTACCTGCGGCCGCTGCTTGTGCTGTGTCTGGCTCTGTGTCTGTGTCTGCTCCCAGTTCCCCCGGGCTCGGTTAGTGCCCACCGATGTCATCATTTACAGTATATACAAATAACAGTATTTACAAGGTAGAACTCTGTGGTGGGTCGGGGAGAAGAGAGAACAGACTGTTAGAAACCGAAAACAAAAGGCAGGACCGAGACTGAACAATCGCGTGGGTGAGGCAGCCAGTAAAGCCGTCGTGGGCCCCCACCCTCCCCACTGCTTCCCCGAAAGTCAGTGGGCCAGGCTACCATTTCTGTGTGCCCCCAAAACAAAAAGGCCACTTGTACTTCTCGAGGTTTCTCCACCACTACCACAGCAGAGGGCTCCAAATGAAACATCACCTGCACCCAGGCAGGAGCAATCAGGACCCAGGAGCAGAAGTACTTGGGGTAAAGGGTTTGAGAACTTGCTGCTAAAACATGAGTGAGCAGGCACAGATCTGCCATGACCAGGGCCCTAAGAGGCTGCAGTGATCAGCTGGAGCAAGGAATGCTTGAAAAAAAAAAACCAACCTCTAAAGAAATTGCACTTGGAGAGTAGGACATCACAGAGCCTGAGACACATCAACTACTTCCTCTTCTCCTTTCTTGCCTTCAAAGCAGGGAAAGGGAAGCAAAAACGCTCCAGTAATAAGTGGTGCTACAGGTCTGTGGGATATTGTTTTAATAATATGCTGCCCTTGTAGAACTGCCTAGTTTTGATTGCTTCAATTACTCCCCAGAACCAGAAATATTAAGTTTTCTTCTATTAGGTATTCTGGCTTTAAAAAAACTAGCAAAAAAGCAAACTAGATGCCAACAATGAATAACAGTCAGTAATGTCGTTAGGTAACTGCTTGAAGCAAAAAAAAAAATCCCAGTAAGAGTTCAGGCCATGGAGCATCCAAAGCAAGTGGAGTTTTATAACCTCACACTGGGCTTCAGGGGAAGAGCCCAACCTGGGTGGTTAGAAGGGGATCAGCTCTGAGTAGCTGTGCCCTGCCTATTGTCTCCCCAGTACGAGGGATGCCAGACACATCCCACACCACTTGACAGGACTTGCTACTTCCAAGCCCCCCGAAATCTCAATAATTACAAACTTCACATTTTCGGATTTCGTTAACAATGACTGCGACGCCTTCCTCCAAAGCAGCAGGGTCTGCTCCAGGTGCTGGTGCTGCAGGCAGACGCTTGGGACAGGGGAAGGAGCCACAGACAGAGCGTAAGAGCAGGGAAGAAACCCGAGTGAGAAAATCCGACCTGCAGGATATGATCTGAAACGTTGCTTGCGAACACCAACATGGCAGCACAGAGCAAGGCCAGGCTCAGGGAGCGTTAGCAAACAGCCCAGGAAGAACTGGGGAGTCTCTTCTCAAAGTCCATGAGTGAAGTGCTTGACTAGTCTGAGAGATCCTTCCCCAAGAGCAGAGACCCTAATGTCACCTCCTCACCCTGGCTCCGCGCACACGCCACCGCTCCTGCTCCCATCAGTGTCTAGTCTTCCTCTGTAGGCAAGTTTTCAAGTGCAATTGCTCCCGCATCTTCCCACAAAACCTCAAAAGTTTGTCCTCCGGGGCCACCCATGCCTCGCAGCAACTGCATACCACTGTTTTCCAGCTACACAGTGCCCAGGTTTCTTATCAGGAAACAATCCAAGCTACCTGTCCAGTCACCAGGAGCCCCCGAGGTGCATGTGACACCGAGCAGATTCAAGGAAGAGTCACCAAGCCTGGGCTTCACCCAAGGCAGAGCAGACAAAGCCTCCTGGGCTACGCAGCCATCCCTCCCACACTCCACGCAGGCTTCTTCCCCACGGTATTTATTTTTGCTCTCCACCGCTATGTCTCTTCCAGTTCTAAGTGTTTCACGCACAAACAAGTTGTCATATTAAACCAATTTGGCAGCAGAACTGCAGGCCCAGAGGGAAGCAATCCTGCCCGTTTGCAGTAACTTAATCTGCAATTTCAATAGGATACAGTTCCAGCAGTCTGCTGCCCCGAACCTTTGTGCAGTGGCTGGGCATTGTTCAACAGCTGCCACGCTCCACTCTGCCCAGCTGCATTTCTGCCACATTTAAATCATGATGATTTTTTTCTTTAACATGCAAAAAAAACACAAGAAAAACATCTATTATAGAAATATCAGCAAGGCCCTGACCCTGCTGAGCCCATCAGGTAATCAGGCATCCCCATGCCCTGCACTGAAGGAAAAAGACTCAGCTGCTGATATTTTATTCCTCAATCATGTAACTTCAGTACAGCTCACAGGCAATATTTAATTGAAAATCTTTGTTATCCTGATACTTGAACTGGCCCCACACAGAAGTAACAATAACATGAGTTTACCAGTTCAAAGCAATCTTCATCAAAAGCATTTTACTTTTTTTTTCTTTTTAATAAGAGCAAACCCATACATATTCACCAAGAAGGATGTAAAAATAAAGAGCAACTCCAGTCAAACCAAGTTGTGGCTCATCCACACCAGAGAAACAGCGTTAAATCAGGCCAGCGCTTACGTTTCAAGACAAGGGGAAATCGATGCATGCGTACAGGATTTAGGGAAAACAAAAAGCTTCACAGCCACGGGTTACATCTTTTCTTCAAAGAAGCTGCAAGTAAACGTGACACACTTTGCCGTTACCCCTTTCCCTTCCCAGACTACACCGCTACCACCTTCCACATCTAGAGAGGAAAGAGTCTCGGCTACGCAAAACATGACGTGCAGAGTCTCCAGAAAAAGAGATGATACAAAAATGTAACAAACTGTTCATTTTTATTAGAAATTTCAGGTAAGTTACAGTTTTAGAACAAGGATCTGTCAGCCCCATCCACTATCCCCAGCTGTATCAGACCTGCTGGCTGATGCTGGGTGAATCCCAGCACGTCCCAGCCTCAGTTTCCCATATCTGTTAATACAGAAAATTGGTATTTCCTTCCCCCTCCGACAAACCTTGATTAACACATGGAAAAGACTCCAAAGCTCCAAAGGAAAGGACCACAGAGGGCAAAGCATTCAGAAAGATTTTTTTTTCTGCAACGTGGGGCAGAACAAGCACCCAAAGGAGCCCGACACGGGGGGCTGGCGTATCAGTGTTAGGATTTTTTTTCCTCCAGAGCAAACACGTTACAGCTGCAAACCAAATCACTCCCATGTGTGCAGAGTACAAGATTCTGGGGAGATGCCCCCAGATACCCCATCAGAGACCCCAGTTCAGCGTCAACGTGCAGCGTTTTATTGGGAAGACTCACCAGCCGGTGCTGCCGTCCGGGAGCACGCAGGGAGAGCGCCCCAAACTTGCACGGAGGCAAAGGCCACGCACGGGACCTGGAGCGGGGCCGGGATTGCCCCAGGGCCACCAAACCGGCATCGCCCGGGAATTTCACGTGGGCCACAGGGACCCGCGGCGGGGCCCGCCCCACACCGAGGGGCCACCACCAGCAACGGCCCCCGGAGCGCTGCCGAAGAAAGGGTGCTGGAGGCGGGCCCGGTCGCACGCGAGGAGCCCCGAGAGCACGGCGGTAGCGGGGCAGCGCGGAGGCGCGGCCCCCATTGTTACC